AACACTTTCTAAGGTTAGTTTTGAACTCTCCCCTGCCAGTTTGAGGTCAAATGACCAGTATTCACCCTCTTGACTATAACCCTAATGTACTGGCTTAATATTCAAACAGCAACATCTCAGTTTATTGTAGGTAGATCAGGAAGTGGTTGAGTTACAGTTGCTATAAGTTACTGCATGTCACACATGTTTCTGAATAAGCCAAATGGCTAGTTATATCCTATGGAAATAGCATAGTGTACTGTGTGGGGGTCGCTAACACTTGTACTTGACATGTACCTACCATGTACACCATTATTACTTACTGAATGCATAGCTCCCAACTGTCCTTTATTTGGAGTGCCTCTTTTAGAACCAAGACCCTATTTTCCCCTTTTCTCCCATTCCTCCCTCTTTTTTGATTGGATGTATAAACCTCTATATAAAATGTACTGTTTACCCACCAAAAGTGTTAAACATCACTAAACCTTTTATTCAAACACTCAATTACACATGTGTTATTTTGAAAAGCCAGTATAAAGGAAAAGTGTTGGCAAAGAATTGTGGGTATAACCAATCGTTTTTACATATTAATTCTTTGTGGCCCATGTAACTGGGAGAGTGTGTCCTTTGCCTATGTATTTAGCTAGAAGATGTTCCTCCTCACCTCAGAAAGTTAGGAGTCATGTGAATGGGATTTTTCAGTACTGGTTAACCTGGCCAGCCACAGCTTGACTTTTGCACTATTGCTGAGCTGTAAGTGGCCTTGTTGGCACTACCTGGTTCAACATAAGTCATTCTTCAGTTGAGTCTTGTCGAAGGAGTCAGGATGGAACATTATCGGCTGAATATTACATGTATCCAATCAAATTAAGGATCTGTTTGGGTATTCAACAGATGTTGGAGTAGCGGCTGCTGAACACATTTGCTGGCAGCAGGGATTCCTTAATCCATACTGTTTAGCATGAATGGGGGAATGTGATGTTTACTCTCGTTTAGCCCGCTGTGTATAGCCAGCTTTAGTAGCTCTCATGGACTTAGATTCCTAGATAACAAAATCAATTAAAAGGATGGTGTAACCTCATTTACAGCAGAATTCCAGCCAAAAAGCTTTGGATAAATAAAGTTTCGAAGGATTTTTTTTTTTTTGCTGCCTTCCCTCTCAGTAGGATGAACAGTGACTTGGATATCCAAAAGCTGACAGCTGTCAAAGACTGGATTTTTCCTCAGTCTGGAAATATTTCATCCTAAAGCTTAGCTCTAGTCTTAAGTTCAGTCTTGCACAGTTGTACAGGCTCATTTCCTGCGCTGCTTTTGCTTACTATGATTTTACTTCACACTGTGAGCTTCTCACAATATGCATTAAAAACTGCAGCAGGTCAGATACAGCCTGCCTGGCTGTCCCTGGCCTGCTTCTTTCATTAGTTGGATTTCAGTTCTTTCAACCATGGAGGCTCAACATCATGCTAATGCATCTGCCTAGGAATTACCACTAGTCCAGACTGATCCACCCATCAAGACATTTTGATATTTGCATAATTCCTTCCAAAAACAACCCCACTGTTTGCATTAGGGCTGAGGGCTCTTGAGAAGAGCACTCAGACAGATATTTTCAGGATACTATGTACAGCACACTGCTGACCCCTCCCACCAGCCATGATCTGTCTGCATTACACAGAGAAGCACAAAGAAATAAGGTGTGAAATGAAAACAGAAATGTTTATTTGAACTTTTCATTATGTTGAGGAGAGGGAGAAAGAAACCCGGGAAGGCAAATTATAAGAAGATTAAACTATAATTCCTGTTGTGTCTTCTGCTGGGAGTGAGGAGAAATCCTTCCAACAGGAACATAAACAACAAACAAAAAAACTTAGGAGGAGTTATAACTAAAACTTAAACAGAAATAAAAAGTGTACACGACATGCCATGTAATGTAGCTGGACTTGAAAACATTATCCCCATGTGGACCTTCCCTGGCTTTAATTATGTTCATAAATTAGCTCTTGCAATGTGATCTTGCTTCTGAATGGTAATACAGGTGCTGCTCTGGGGATGGGGATCAGGAAATATGTCCCACCCACTACATGGCCTATAAATGTTTTCTTGTGGAAATGGTCATTTCCTTCTTACTGTATTCACATTTTATAAATATTTTTTTTTTAAATTAATCAACATAGTATATTTTATAATTTAATAGTAAGGTTTTTGGGTCACTGTACAGCAGGCAGTGGCATACGGAGTTCCAAATATAAGTGGGTATTGAAGATGTTATCACTATAATTCCTGTAATTATCAGTTCTAGCTTACTTTTACATAGGGTTGAACTAAATATGTGACTCTTAAAAGTGGGCTCACTAGTCCCACTGCTGGCCACAAACCACATATGCATGTATACTGTACCAATGCCCTCTCCCGTCCTTTACTCTTGGGCCACAGAATGCTATAAGTTTACAACACTGTATTGAAGGCTTTTTATGTGGTAATAAAAAGCCTTCCAGGCCTTGGTTTTGTTGTAGTAGAATCACGGTATATGAAGTGTGGTGAGAGAATGCCTTTTAACACTTCAGCTGTGGTAGGAGAACCGTTGTTTTCCAATATAAAATTGTGATTGGGGATTATACTTTATACTTTGATGATTGGCCAGCATGGTGCCTAAGTGAAGGGACGTTTTGCTCTGCAACTTGGGGTCCTGGTTGTGACAATCTTTCAGCTCTCCTCTATGTTCTCCACTTCCCTCCCACAATACAAAAACGAATACTGGGAGGTTATTTGGATTCCTCACAAACTCGCCCTAGTGTATGAATGAGTGTGGTTAGGACATTAGATTGTGAGCCCCTTTGGGAGGCCAGGTATTTATGCGAATGTGTACTCTGTAAAGCACTGAACAGTATTCTGATGCTATATGGAAATAAAGGACTGCAATCTTAACATTATAACAAAATATAATCAAACACACTGGAAGAAGAATGGATAGCAGCAGCACTCAGCCAACTAATGCACATGGAGGGACTTAAAGCACAGTTATATTGTATGAACAATCCAAAATTAATTACATGATGGAGTGCCACCACACAATTCAGAGACCTTCTTGGCTGACTCTACTAGTTCTATACCAGGTCATACTCAGTACAGATTTTTATTATTATCTTCTTTCTTTCTTGTTTCCTTCCTAGACGAAGCTCCAGACATTCTCACAGCTAACAACCATTAGATCTGCTGAGTATTATCACAAGGCACAACATACACTTATCTACAAACTGTGGATGTAATGCTGTATTTTATTATATTCATTTTTTAAATCTCAATCATCTATAGAAACCTATCTTGTAATCATTGAAATACATGCATTTGTTCCATTCTTGTGACTGAATATTTGCTATGTTTTGTTAAAGTGACTCCCCCCCCCCCCCCCCAATGCTGCTTTAAGGACTTACCTTAAATGATGCCTCTTGATCCGATTATCTTCTTCTCTCCAGTAGTTGTCAGGAGTCCCTCCAGTGCTGGTGCCGGTCTCTGATCCAGCGCTGACTGCTGTGTCTTGTGTCCCACGGTGTCTGTCCACGTGCATGCATGCCGGCTGCGTGCATTGACCTTCACTGTGTCTCTCCTCTTGTCCGTTTCAAAGATCTCAACTGTGCATGCACCTCCCCTATGATCCTTCATGGCCAGTTTAGAAACATTGAGCAGCTCTACCCTCTTGTCTCCAAGTCCGCTGCTGGAACCTTGCAAGGCAAGGGGAACCGTCCATGCATTACTTTATTTGTAAAAAGGCATAACAGCAGCAAACAAACAAATGCTTACATGCTTCAGCTCCCAAACTGGGCCTTAGTCGTAGCCAACTTCACAGTGACTCAAGAATCTTCAGATGTTCAGATGGGAACGAGTGGTGGAGACACAGGAAAATTTGTACCTATTTGGTAACTTTTTTTAAAAATGTTTTTGCACATATATACTGCTTGTTACCAGTACATATATGCAAACAAATGAGTGTTTAATTCTACTTTAAAGACTCAATATACCCAATCTTGTGTAAGAGAAAAAAAAACAACTGTATTTTTGCTTGTGCATCATTGGATGATAGAAGTCAGCAGATCTTCACTTCTTTCAAGGAAGGAAAATTCCCTTGTAAAATGATAATTACCTTGCAAAGTGAACAGCTTTGATTTAAGCAAATCAACCCCATACTCTTTCAAAATGACAGAAGGAAGCATAATCTATGCAGTCCATTGAATTTATCATCTACATCAATAACAGCTGTATATAAACCAAACTGCTCTGGAAGCAGCCAAGCCATGGTTTGCCAACATAATATTTTTGCTAAAACCATTATAGTGTCGGTCAAAAAGGAACCTCTCGGCTATGCCTAGGTTTTATTCAGGAAAAACTGAAAGATAGAATATTTTGTCTTACATTCCAGTCTAGAAATACAAGTAACTGGCACGTACTTGATGACTCAAGGCAATCTGAAAACCCCCCAGCTATGACAACCAGGTTTAAGATTTTTCGATCATCCATTGCAGTAACCTTGCACTCCTCTCACTTTTGTACAGTATGCAGCTTGCCTTTAGGTGACTACACACAGCCTAATTTTGGGAAGATTAGATTGTTTTTAGCTGATCTCCAGGTAACCCGTATTTGTAGCTGTGACTTTTGAGGAAACTATATATTTAGGCTGATATAATCAGGATGACTGACTGGTCTGTATCAAACAAGCATCTGTGTAACCATTGCTCATATGATCTGACTGAACTATTCTCATGTGTTAAAGCCAGGGTTGATTTAGTTGCTCCTATCTTTACATGTATGGCTTTCTTTTCTTATGAAAAACCTCATGTAAAATAAGTATATGTGGATATACAGAGAGCGGCCATTCTGCTCTCTTGCTTTGGTAGGACTCTGCCCATAGTTTGATTTTCTGCTGTCAATAAAGGTGAATTATTTAATGTAGATTGTAAACTAGCAATTAAAATGCCACTGAAGGTAATCCAGTGGGTCAGGTACACACCGCTGTCTCCCAACCTTCTTCTGGTGTTTTGTTTGTAGCTTTTAGCTTGCTATTGTCGCAGTTTCACCATTACATGATGATTTATAACAGATGTGATGTCTAACACTTAGGAATGATTGGAGACTATAGCAGGTAAAGTTTGACTATGATTGGCTGCAAGACAAATGTAGTATTGCTGCTAGAGTTCCACACATAAATGAGCTTGTTACTGGTGTCCACCAAATGAAGACTTTTTAAAGCTGTATATAATAAACTTGTCATTATCACCTGAGATGCATTGTGGTTGATGTACTAAAGGCAAATTGGCTGTTCACTTTTTAAGGGATTTTCCCTCAGCTTAGTGAATTTGGGAAAGCTCTGCTGACTTCCTCATCCACCCATGAGCTAGCAAAAATACAGATTTTTATTTATTTTCCTGGCACGTGTTTAAATATTCTTTGCAAAGGGAATTTTCACCACATTCACTAGAATAAGAGAAAATTCCATTGCAAAGTGAAAATTCCCTTTTTTCTTTTAGTAAATGAACCCCATACTGTATGCTATGACTTGGGCACCCTTGGCCAGATTACACATCCTGCTCATTTTCTATGACAAAAATTAACACTCTAAATGTAAACAATATATTTCTACAAAATTTAAACATGATCTTTGGACATCTAGTGCTCCCCTCATACTCTTTACCACCCCTCTTTCTAACTAATTGCCATCTTAGTTTAAAAGCTGCTTTTACTTAGTGATCACGTGATTTGCTAGACATGGATTCCTCTCTCTTCCTCAATGCAAACGGGAATGGTCCTTCCTCAGGTGCTTAGGTTGCTGTTAGGGTGCTGCTAGGGTGCCTTGGAATTTCCCATTGGCTGGTCCAGTGATAGGGTCCCCTCAGGTCCTTAAGACTTGACTGGACCCTGTGAAATGACATTGCAATTATGGGACCTGTCGGTGCATGCACACTGTAGCACTTGTATCCACTTTCAGAAAAAGTTTCAATGATGGCCACATGATGACGCACATAGGTGAGTTGTTTTTTAAGCGATGGTAATTGGGTGGATTTGTGATTCCATCACTTCCATCACAAATCCAGAAAACAAATGGTTTATTACTCATTTAATGATGGGGGAAGAAAGCCATGCAAATAATGATTATATTTTCCAAGGGCAATGCATACATACACACACACACACTAGTTCATAGCATCACTAAAGCTTCACATTACAAAGTAACATATAAATAGTTTTATAATAGTAGGCTGTATTAAACTTGGTGGTTCTTGCATGGTTAGCCATGGGGCCATAAAAAAACATGTTGTGTGCATTGCTTGGTCCACTGTGGTTATTTTAGGAATAATTTATTTGTGAATTAGTGATGAAAGCGAAGATGTATAAATACTATACTGAAATAATATACTATACTTAAATAAATAGCAGTACTACACTGCACAAAAGCAAAAATAGGTAGACAGAGTTGCTTATTTTGCTTATTTTGTATTACTTGTTTGTTTCAAATTGGTTAATTACAAACATAATTGTAAGTTAAAATGTGCTTGAATATGCTGTATTTTAGTTTGTTCTCTACTGCTAGAGAACTTAGATACAACTACTGTATATGTAACGATAAACTATAAGATTTTCTACAATTAGTTTCAGATACACATCTCATTTTATTAGTTGTATTGCATAAATATAACACACAAAATGAAGAGAAATTGTCCTTGCATTGGAAACAATCAAAATGATCTTCCCTGATGTGAAATTTCAGCCGTTTCAAGGTCAAAGGTCAGCCTGTGTTTGACCTGTACCATTTAAATGTCAAAGGTTATCTTGATCTCATTGCAGTTGCAAAAACTCTTCAGTGTTTTACTATTTCAAGTAGACTGACAAGAGAATGTTAAGAAAGACTACCTGATCATCTCAGTAGGCCATTGGTAATCTGTTGTGCCGAACTGCATCCAATGTATTACATTTCCCTTTTAAACCTTATTATGAAAGTTTCAGTATGAAAACATTTGCTAAACTGCGTTTTTGTGCTTTGTGAAATCCCACCGGAGTGTGGATGTGGTAAATCAAGAAAACATAAATCAATGTAACACATACAACATATACAGATCTTGTATACAAGGCAGAGTTAAGCAAAACTTCCTGAGTAAATGGCTTTTGAAGAAAACAGGCAACCTTATGGTTATAGCAATCAGATGAGTTCCCGTTGAACTGCAAAAAAAATAAAATAAAGGCAATTCTGTTACTTGGAGTTAGAAATAAGGTGTAAGAAACACTTTCATGCTTTTCTTTCATACTTCTGTTCCTGATTTATCCATAAGTGATCGGTTTTGGCACTACATCTGGTTACATTTGCAACAATTTAGCACACAGCTGCAAGAAGCTGTTAGTTGTTCAAAATGGTGATATAATGAATGTAATATTTAACCCCTTCATGACTGAGCTTGTTTTTAGTTTCTGTTTGTTAATGACTGACACACGTTTGACATTTTTGCTGTGTGATTCTTCCACGTCAGTAATATACTTTCTTATAAAGTGCACCCACACATATTATATATTGTTTTTTAGAGGACAGATAGGGCTATATATTTATAGCACATATGTGTGCCTAATGCCTCACTTAGGACAAATAAAATATAAAAAAAGAGGAAAAAAACATAAAGAAAACACTTTTTCCCCAGTTTTGATGTGTAGTATTTTTTAGAAAAACAGCACAGCTAAAAAAAAACAATAAATACATTCATTTATTTGTCCTTTAATTGGAAAAACCTCACATTCCTAGGATTTTAGAAATGTTTCTGTACTTCTCTGCCTAAAACTAAAACCTAACATTTAATCTTTTTTTTTCTAAAAGCTAAAGCTAAAAGTGGTCACCTGGCATACAATGTCACTGTCACTAAGTGTCACAATGTCACATATGTAATTTTTATTTGTTACATTTATTTTAATTTTTTTAACTTTATTTTATTTTTTTTACACTTTTCACTATTTTTCAAATTTGTTTTATTTATTTAATTATATCAAGCAGTCATTGTGAAATAATCTCACTATTACTGCTTGATAATTTAATTAATGTTTGGTTATTATTAGGCTGCTTCAAAGTTAAGAACAGCCAATAATAACCTTAGTGACACTGATCCTGCAGCATTTCAGGATCAGATGTCAATAAAGGTTTTCTGATCAAAAACAATCAGAAAACCAGCAACATTCTTTCAGCAATAGAAACATGAAGCTAAATGTTTCTATTGCTGAAAGTTTAGGAATAAAAAGCCGGTATACATCAGGATTTCCCGATCTATACCAGCTGTCAGCGACGGCTGGAGCTGCAAATGCGGCTCTGCTCTCACTGTCAGACACCCAATAGAAAAAAAAGCTGTTGTTGTAACTGCTTAAAAAGTTTTAGCTGGAGTTTAGCTTTGTCGGGATCCGTCCCGGCGGCGGTGGTCTCAGTATACTGCCAGCTGTAGCTGGCGGTATACTGAGCTTTGGGTCACGGGAGGATGCTAGTTTGTGTCCTCCCGTGACCTTTAGGAGAACTATGGGGGAAAAACACCTACCCCATATGTTATTTAAGTTTATCTAAATCCGCTAGTCCATCTAACAAGGCTGCTGTCCAAGGGTGGCTCCATTGCTCCTCCATAGAGTGGGGTCATTCTAAGACAAGAAGGGTGTTATTCAGATCATCAGGTGAAAGTAAAAGAAATAAAAGCCTAAAAAAGGAAAACTAATGCAGCCACCACATTTAGGGATTGGTAAAATGCAATATTATTTTCATTTTTAGGGTTTAGATGTGCTTTAATTACAGCTTTGGAAAAGCAATTCTGCAAATGAAAAGCTACCTTTTTATATGCCAGTAACGGATTCATATATAATTGTTTGTGAGAGCATATATTTTCGATCTTTATGTTGGAAATAGTTTACTATAGCTGGGAACTTTAAATATGACCTGACCCTAATATCCTTTGAAACAAAATACCATGTACTTTGAACATCCATACATGGCCCAGTGGATATCCCATCTTGCCGATTGCTCTACACCTAAAGCTCATCATAAGATGTCTTTATTCAACCTCAAATACTATGTAACTATGTATTTCCATGGGTGAAGCAATCTTCAGAATAACATGTTCATATATTTATAGACTAGCTCCTCTTGGGAGAGGTGTAGAGGTGTTTGCAAATTCAAAATGTGCCTTGCTATATTAATATTTTAACACAAATGAAGACTGGCTACACACATATGTTGAGGGAGACCTGGATGTAACAAACCACTTAAAGAATTACTTCTGATTAGTCTTCTCAGAAGTAAATGACACTACAAAAACAAGCGGGGGAACATATTGGTTCTAGTGGTGAAGGTTTAATTTCAAGGTTTTTGGAGGCAGGGGTAGGAAATTAACTTAATAAGCAAATGAATATCCATGCTATGTCAATATCCCAACTCTATCCCACCCTCTGTGACAGCTGCAGTGAAAGAAAGAAGCTAACAAACTCCTCCCACAACTATAAAAGCAACAAACACTGCTCTATATCCAACCCTTCAAGTGTGCACTTATTATGTAAATAAACAATGTACTCAAATTATTTCATATATAACAAAATACATATATAGATATATAAATATATCTATATATGTAGATATGTAGATATATAAATATATCTATATAAATAGATATCTATATATATATATAAATATTCCACTAAATTCACTCAGTGTCATATAGTGTCCTCCACATATAAAATGTCCATTAAGTTTGTGACAACAAAGGTCTGTGATAGATCGTGATGTATTCCTTATTCCCAAATGATTTCAAATAAATTATAAATAAATCATGCGTATAATCAAAAATCCATAATCCACTGTGACTTTTTGTGATTCACTCCAATAGGGCTTCCCCGTGATACATCTCCAAGTGCGCAATCACTAGCACACTAACCAGATCCTCTAGACCCTTGGTTCTAAACTGGTTGGTCGTGACCCAAAAGTGGGTCGCGACCCCATATTTAGTGGTGCCTTCCACTTTTCTAGGTGAGGGGCTCCTCAGCTTCCCCCTAGCGCAGCACTGTCAGTTCTCTCAAAGTATGCTGCACAGTGCCGAAAGTCAGCTTGAGGTGGGGTGGGTTGGAGGCAGCTCCATCCATATGTGCATTGTTTACAGCTGCCTTCCATGTCCTGTAGAGGTCCCTGGACGGGAGTGACGTCACATTCTGGCTCCCAGAAACCTCTAAAGGGCTCACAAGGGAGCTGTTCAAGCAATGCACATATGGATGAAGCTCCGTCACAGCACAGCAGCCCACACTGGACCCCAGGCTGAGGATCCACTCCAGTTCTTGTCAGGTTCACACTAGTACAGTGCGTTAATCGCATAGTACCGTGCGACTAACGCTCTGTACCATGCAATCGCACCTACTGTGCATTCGGGTGTGGAAGGTGTGTTGCGTTACCCAAATGCTGTGCGTTCCAGTGCAGTGTGACTTAGGTTGAGACCTAATGACCAAGGACAAATGTGGGTCCTGAGGTTACAAAGGTTGAGAACCACTGCTCTAGATCATAAAGAATGGTCTATAAAAGCTCTGTATACTCTTTTTGGCTTCAAATACCTCTCTTCCCCACTAGGTAACCGATGGTTAATCTGCATAAGATCCCTCTCAGGTTGCTCTAATGTTTCCCTCAATAGTGAATGCCAACTGGTATCGAGCAATCCGTCTCCTCACCTGGAAGCCGATCCAGATGCACTACAATAGCGGCGTCAGCGTGTAGGCTCCTTCCCGACGCACTTTCTCCGTGGGACTTTTTCAAATGGACGAAACGTGTCATGGAGGAGCCTACATGCTGACCAAAAAAATGAATCACATAAAAAAATTGCATATATATACATATATATATACTGTATATATATATCTATATACATATATAGATATATATATACACACACACATACACACACACAATAACCATGGCAGCCTACATAGTGATCAGAAAAAAAAAGTTAAAAAATCAGGTCAAGTGGCAAATCAATAATATATTCTAGCCGACTCTTGAGTAAAGATGCTAGCAGCTTTTGTTTATTATTTGACCATGCCAGCATATCTTTTATTTGGATTTACATTGTAGAAGAAATCACATTTCAAATACATTATACTTCTTATAAGTACAACTAGAAATAAACAGTAACACAAAAAATAAACTACAATGTTTATGACGTAGCAATAAATGCAATCCGAAGATGGGGATTTTTTTTTTTAAATGGCCATGATGCTCCAATGACTTCCATATGTTAATAGTGATTTAGTAGAAAATAATGTAATAGTATACAGAACCAGCAATGTCATTATTTCACATTCTCCAAATCACTTTGCTTTTAAACAGAGCCCTTTCCCATGCTAACGAAGATGAATGTCACTGTGGCTTGCAGCGATGAGGAATTCATCCAGTCACACACCGACATGGCTTCTCCAGGAGAGGAGCCAGGGCTTCCACTTTTCTGCTGGGGAATATGTGAGCCTACCAGTCTTGGCCATCTGTCACTTTGGCACCAACAGGATGTAGCATCAGCAGGGAATTAAACATACACTCCCTATGAGACTTGTCAGTGTTGGGGATACAAAGGGGGAAAAACACGAGCTCCATATAAACAGTAATGGAATGAAAAAAAAACACACATTTGCCTTCTGCTGAAAATTGTGACAGTGAAACGATTACCGCGAAGAGTATCAGGGGGTGCAGACAAACCCAAGAACTGGCAGCTCTTTTGCAGAGATCACCCCTCTATTATGTGTGTTAATGCATTGCAGACTAGTCGTCTATCATACACGGCAGAACACTGCCCTTCTCCAGTTACTCCATGACAGATATAAATTGATATATTATGCAGAAAACAGGAACAGCCACACAACTGAATATATTGTGACCAATTACTTTCTATGCAGCTGTATTTCTTCTTGTGCATAACCAGTGACTGCAAATAATTTGCTGTGAGTATATTGTGCTCTTCTACTATCAAAGTGCACAAACCATCATCTACTATCATCATTCACTTCCAACAATACACTTGGTTTATATTTTACTATGTAAACTTTTTCTTCATCTTTTTCATCTAACAGAAATGTTGTTGATCAGTTAAATGTTTCATGGCTTTTTTTATACAACACATGGCTCTTTCTGCTATTAAAACATAACTTCTACAAACAAGGAATTAGATAAGTGGAACAATAGTACAAACTAAAGGCACATATATATTTTGCCTGTGTAAAATGCTGGAAAGATAATTAAATGGATAAAAAAATGTATGTTTTGCCCTAAGAATGAGAATCCTGCATCAGTTTGGTACATAGACTTGTGGTTTCCTTTAGGTGTAGGAGATTCTTATCGATTGAATTAAGGAGAGTGTCTGGGCAGAGGTGCCAACTGGTTGGTGATTTCCCTATTATACTTTGACAGAGACCATGTGCCCAATGCCTCAACTGACCATGCCCAAAACCAATGAAGCATTCTTGTTATTGAAGTGAATAATACTTGGCCAATTGGTTGCCTCTACCTTAAGATTCAACTGACGTCAGGTCCATTTTATCTTCTGGCAGTGACCATGCCCGAAACCAATTCTTGCTATTGAAGTAAGAGGTATTTGTCTGTTTTATTAACCTGTCTATGTTATACAGGGTCCTTTTTTCACAACTAATGAGTAACAACTAGGGATGCACCGAAGTTTCAGCCGCCAAAACATATCCGCCGAAAATAGCACTTTTGGCAAAATGCCAAAAGTGCTATCTTTCGGATGGAATTGCAGTGCATGCCTTTATTTTTATCATTTTACGTTTCTAAAACTAAAATATTTATACATAAAGTATGGGACAATATGAACTGTAAGATTAATACTCAGAAGGAAACAAGCCCTAGTCTTAAAACCTAACCAAGCAACAAACACATTATCACACTATCTTCATACACAAAACAGTGTGGGACCCTGATGGGGAGCTTTAGTATAGAGCTTTAGTACAGAATCACATAACAGCAAACAGCCTTTCTCATTGGTCCTCAAGAAATACAGGCACAACCAGGAAGAAAACATGTAGCTGTCAATACAAAAGTAATACCAATAAATCTGCGCAACACTGGTTTTCCCTCCAAGCTTTGAGTCTCTCTGTATTGAATCCACGCAAAGCTGGCTCCAGACACTTATCAGAGGTAGGCATTGGTGGGCACACTTAATATGGAACAAATAGGAATATGCGACATGAAGGATGTGAAGTGGGCGGGGGTAGGAGGGTTGGGTGGAGAGCATACACTGCCATACAGTCATCTCAGAGATTTAGAGAGCTAAGCCTATATTACAGGTGACAGGTCACTGTTTTTTAAACCTTGAATATGTTTAGGAACAGCAGGACTCTCAGTTGGAATACTTAATGGTTCATATATACAATATGTATAGGGACCGTTTGTTCCACCATTTCTGGTCTAATGTACTTTCAGGGAGGACATTTGATACATATCAACTGACACAAATAGACTGCATATGTCATATTACAAGTACAGCAGCTAATAATGTTGAAACAAAGTAGGACAGAAGGTTGGTTTAGTGAGTTTATCTGGGATTGTTTGGTACAGAAGCCCATGCAGAGGAGATTCAGAGGCCACGACATTTACAAAGACTGCATGGAGGACAGGCAAGGTCAGTCAAGTGAGGCTGATAAGGGGAAGACATCCATTTTCCTTACCTGACCCACAAATAAATTTGAACAAATATGGACAAATTTGGGAGAAAGCTTGCATGACTGGGGATGAAGGTCTGAAATTAGATATTATGTATATTATGTGGGATAACACTTCTATTTTTTCTTCAGTCTTGGTTTCATCTTAAACTGTATATATAATGAGTGGGCACAACCCTTTAATGGAGAGTTTAATAAGTGTTATTGAACATTGTGCTACATATATAAATGAATAAAAGCTCACAAAATAGTTTTACAACAGTAACTTTTAATTTGTAAGCATGTTGTGAAGATCAAGACCCCTCCTAAGACTTCAACTGTTTGGATAAAACCTGAAACAGTTGGAAAGGGGATTCCAGCTCTAGAGGTTTGAAGTGTATCTCTAAGAAAAACTTTTTATTTACTGCTGTGTCCCCATTGAGGAAATCCAACCCTCTATTTGTACTGGTCACCATTGTCACTGTGAAATACATTTCAGAGCTGTCCCCAGAACAAGGTAAGGGGAAATCTTCTAATGAGGACATCTGTTCTGAGCACAACTGTCTAATTGGGGAATTCCCATCACCTTGGGAGATTTCCTCTAATGTCCGTAATGTTGTGTCTCTGGGATAGATAGGATGTTAAGGGAAATTTCCCCAAGGGTACACAGATAGCAAAAAAAAAAAAAAACCTGATCTGGGTTTCAATCCTTCCCTACTTTATCTAAAGCTAAAAAAAAGTATAGGCTAAACATACACTATAAACTGGAGGAAGGTAAAATGCTGGCAAGCAGTGTCCAGAAAAGTCACACAGATAGTCTGTCATGCTTATCAAAGGAATATTGAGTTCTGTGAATTTCCGATGTAAGTACATTTTTAGGAGGCCATGTATGATGCCTCATTTTCCCTTCTAGGTCTTGTCATCGGTGACCATGTGTGGAGTCTTTTCCAGCCAGAGTTCGGTATTGTAGTGGAAAAGATGCCCTCTGGCAACATAACTGACAGCATGATACATTATGTGAAAGTGTAATTCCAAATATTTAGTGTCAACATAACAATTAATCACTGCTTGTAGACTGCCACACCAATGGCTATGTGCCTATGTTTGGTCAAGCTCTCGGTGTTGCCATATTTGTAAGGGAGCATCCTGCCTAATTGTAGCCCAACTTTGTCAGAGAGAAGAAACTTTGTCCCTATACATCTTGTTCTGGTGTTACCTGCCTCTGATGTACATACTTCAGATCAGGAGCTGCAGGAGACCAGCACATAATCTAGTACTGGGACCCACGTGCTGGGAGTTGAGAGATGAGCTGGAAGGATTTTGCTGCCTCTCCCTCTCCAGAGCGTGCAATCATTGCTGCCCTTGTCAAACTACTCTACTAACAATGTTTCAATCACCCGTTCACAGCCGGGGTATTTGCAAAATCTTATTCATGCAGCTCTCAGGCCATTACAGCAAATTTCTCTACACTCCCTGGCTTGAACTGCAATTCTCAAATACTGATTACTCTGTACAAATGGGTAACAGGCAACCAAACAAACAAGCAGGGGTCAGACGCACCACACCAAGCATTTATATTCTTTCTAGTGTCATTTTACTAACATAAATTACCCACTAGTCATGTCCATTTACATCTGTGATTGCATACATTTCGCTGTAGTACTATACAGTGACCTTATTAATGATTTGAAATTACCAGATCAGATTACACTACTCTGAGCCACAAAAAAATCTAAGCATGCATAGGATTGCAGTGAAATTTGAGAAAACCCCACTGTATCTTTGTTATGTGTTTCTATTCACACAGCATACCTAAAATAATATTCTAAAGTGTAGAATAGCTTGCAATGTGCAATTAGGGGACCGAATGAGGGACAGTTTTTTTAAGTGCATTAACATACCATGTACCACCCAAGCCTTATTATGTTAGGAAACATTTATTACTACCCAATTTTTTGGTAAAACATAAAAGACGGGGTCACGTCGGGTAAATAGACACCAAACACGTGAAACCTTAAAATTGTGCTCGCCTGCGAAATCGCAAAAATACTACCACACCCAAAACTGGCCATAGGCGATGCTTCAAAAGCTTTTACCGCTTATCAATTTGAAGTTAACAGTGATTGATGGCCCTAAAATTATTGCTCACACTCTGACGTTCGCAATGATACGTAATAATGGGCACAATCGTCGTTTTTGCGCGTCTATGTGGGGATGGGGGACTTTAGAAATTTTATTGCGGGTTTTTTTTGTGTGTACATTTTTTTTTGTGACCCTTAACTTAACTAAAGTATACCTGTAGCCAAAATTTTTTTTTCTTTCACGAGCATTACGGGACACGGATCTCAGTTATTTCTGATACGATCGGGCTATCCTGCCATCTAGAGAAGGATTTGGACACTAGCGAGCAAACAAATCCATTGGCCAGCCAGGTATAGCTCCTCCCACTCCCAGTTTTTTGCTAGTGTCCTAGGAGGATGGACATCTTTTCACTATTGAGAAAAATCTACCCCTTTTTTACAAACAATTTATTTTTTCTCTAAGGTTTGTTTTGGACCTGCTCACAAATTTAGATCGGATCAAAAGTTCCGTACTTATATCTGCCGCCTGGCCTGATTCAATAGAGTATACTATCACAGAGAGAAAATGAAATCACGCCAACTCCAATCAGTGTAAAATCACTTCTCCTTTATTGTTCTCCTTTTCAGGGTTTTAATTTAACAGGTGAACGTTTATATCTGAGAGTAGCATTGCAGAAAAGCGTTTTAGTTTATATATTCTAGCTTATCATTGGTTAGATCCATTTATGCATAACTTCCTGCCAAGATGTTTATAGATGTTTATATCTTTCGTCTTGGGTGTTGTCTGAAGAGGAGGCGCCAACTTGGTTCCTATTTCTACTGCGTACTTCGGATCTGGGGGGGTGCTTAGCACCAATTTCTGAGTAAGGTTTTGAGGAAGGCAAACGAGCAAAAAGCAAATTAACATATATATTACAATTGTCTATTGAGATAGGCATTTTGTCATAATTGTACTTAACCACTTCCATTACAGGTTTACCACATGAATGTTCAAAGCTCAGCTGATGCCTGCTTTGGGTGTAAGGTCCTTCAGGCTGCACTTTAAGCAGCCCTCAGTTTTATTCTCCTTGTTATGCGGGCTTAGAGTCACAGCACAATGAAATATGACTCAAGACACGTTTACGTGCATTTTGTGTGCATATTTCATATGGTTTCCTCTTTCTTCTTTTTGTCATCTCCTGTCTCCATTTTGTGGGTTGTGCCTGTGTTTGTTGGAAATATGGACATGTGACTAGAAAATGCACTAATATTGAATATTCAGTGCATTTTGATGCATTTTCCATGCAATTTAATTCTCTATAATTGTACACTCTATTTTACCATAATGCTCAAAAGATGCCGCAAAAAGGACTTTTCAAAAATGTGATGCACTGGAACTGGAACTCACTGATGTGAAGATCTTTATAGATTTTAATGGTGACTGGTTTACATGGTGACATATGCTTTAAGTGCCCTGTGATCCTGCGTTATAGCACGTATATAATGCAATGGTGTGAATGGGCCCTTAATGTAACACTCTTAAATATGACATACAGAGAGACCCTACGGCTGGTCCAAGGGTAAGCTAAGTAATCTACAACTGTGTCTTCTTTCTTTGGCCATCGGGTGACCACTAACTATGTTAATCCTACAGGCTGGGGTATCATTGTCCCGCTACTTGGCTGAACTATTGACATCTAATGGATGACAGAAGTGCATTCTGCACTGCGCAAACATGCAGTCAGTGTACAATGTAAAAAAAAATAGTAAGCAGACATGTACAGGAATTTTGTTTCCTTGCCAGAATAGACCCAAAACGTTTCTTTAATTAAAAAACTCTATGCTGCTTCTTGATGTGCAACTTTTTCATTTCCTAATGATTTGCTGTTTCCCACAGCACTAGTTCTGCTTCCTGGTCTTAGGGTGGCTCATTTTCCTTGCAGGGTCCTATGAAGCAAGCTTTGCATGCACACTCCCAGCTGGGGCCAAAGCTGAATACACGTTGTGTGCAACTATACAATGTGCATTCCAACTATACAATGTGACGACAAGACATTCCCCTTGTGGGGATTAGCTCAAAATAGTAGCGCATAAAGGACGCATCCACTCGCTGTAATCGTCATTCAAGGGCTTCCTTGCCCACTTTTATTAAATGAAAGTTCACAAAACCGAACAATTACCCTCGCAGGGGTTCTTTAGCATCTCATGGCAGCACCTGCCCATCCAGCCTCCTGGCTTTGCATTTGCTGCTCCGGCCTCAGCCCACTGTCTGTTCCTCCAGACAGCCTCAGTCGTGTGCTAACCTGCACACTGGGGGTTCTTCCCAATCCGCAGCACCCTGCTGCACTGGACTCCACTCTGACTCCTGGGTGGAGCTTTCCTGTCTCCCAGGTGGAGTCTTGAACCCTTCCCAACAACTTTACTTTAAAGGCTGTGCACACCTGTGCCATCAGCATGCGTTGGCCACTCAGATTCTGGACACAGGAATGGAGATAACGCATTGGCATTGCCATGCACTGCCACACCCTGCTTCGCCCTCCTAAATGCTAAAATATGGAAAGCTCCTGGAGCCTGTGCTGTCACTTATGACCTGATAGACTGTGCACATGCTAACCCACAGAAGGTTTACGGAAGATGCACTGTGTGATCTGGAGCTGGCTGCAAAAGTAATACTTGAAAGTGTTTGTACACATACAGTATATGTAGTAAATAATGTGATGGGGAATGTCTCCATGGTTCATTATAATGCACTCATGTAAGGAAGTTCTTATACTTTAAGTACAATTAAATATCTGTGTATGGTATGTGTAGTGTACATAAATGACTACATCTAAAGAAAAGCACAATCTCTTTCTCCAGTAAACTCCAGTAAAATGAGATAATTAAGCAGAGTATGCAAAACCGTGTCTGTGAATTATTTCTTTATTTGCATCCTGGAAATTCTTAATCCATCACTAATATACAGAAAATGATAAATAGTAACATTCCACTGTACACCATAATGTGTGTGAATAGTTAATGCCTGTATGAATGGGTGTGATTTTTTTGGTTAAATCAGTGAATCAGAACATTCCTGTTTCTAGCTACTCCACCTACTGATTCTCACAAAACCGAGAGAGTTGCTGTCATCCCAGGAAATGCAGACACGAGAGGTATGTGTGCATGGGCAGTATCTACAGACAACCCTGAAAAATGACAGGTCTAAAATTGGGACCTGCCACCAACATTCTTGTGTTACACAGTATAATGGGGCAAGAGACACAAAAGAACTGCCAGAGGTGTGTTTATTCATCGGCCAGATGATGGATTTTACTTCCATGCTACAATGCATTTTCAAATGCACAACTGCAAAGACACACAGTACAGTAGACAAAGGTATTCAACTATTAATCCTGCTTGGAAAGCTGGAGAGTGGCCCCTGGGTTGACTTAACTAGAAATGTACTAGAGTAAATGCACTCACCCATTTGACACTTAGCTGAAACACCTTTTTTGTTATTTAATCTCCCTCTTAGTACAATATATTCTGAAAGGGGAAAAAAAATCACATGTTCTGTGGTTTTTCTTTGTGTTCATAATGGAAAACAATAACTCCCAGTTCCATTTTGTCACACAGCCAACATGACTGTATTTTCCATAAGGAACATTTGGGACTGTGTCTATTCTTACCATCTTGTCTTGAATTGTATTGTGATTGTAATGTCTTCCTTATATTGTAAAGCGCTGCGCAAACTGTTGGCGCTATATAAATCTTGTATAATAATAATAATAATAAAAATAATATTCTAACAGGGTGGGCATCGCCAAAACACAACACCCATAATATGCCATTTACGTATGTCATTTTGCCCCATCTGGATAGATATGGACACATATAGGCAAATCCAGTAACAAAACTGAAGACGGAAGGGCTGCATGGTTTGCTGGACCAGTCACAAAACTTTCTGTAGTGCAAGCAACACATAACCATTTATTCTAACGTCTCTACAGGTTCTTAAATAGTGGACCGTATAGTCCCGTGACAACTTTGAACATAAGGCAGATGGCAAAGGTTAAAAAAACACAGCCTTCTATTTTTACAATAGTAGCCATAAAATATAGTAGGATAATATGGTTGGTGGGAAAAAGATGGAGTTAGTAAATAATCATCCTTTCTGTTTGTTAAGGATAATTTGCTCTATGCACTCGGTGGTAAGCAATATTGCATTAGTGCAGATCTTGTTCTTGTGGTTTGTATTGAATGAAAAATTATCCTGTCAATATAAAGTCAACATTCAAACTTACACCATTCCCGTCAACTAGCATATTTGAAAACATAAAAACTAGAGATGCCTGTTTAGAAAAGCCTCTAACAGTAAAGTAAATAATTTTAAAAATTATAAAAAGATTGGAAAAAAGTAATTTTTCGGTAAATATAATGAAGTTTGTAATGTATATGCCATGCTTTACAAAGGCCTGGATTTCCCTTTAAAGAATGGCACTAAAAGAGACTCTATGTGGCAAACAGACAAGCAAGTTCCAACCAGTGATCTGTGCTATTTTTCTCTGTTTAATATGTCATACAGTGATCAGGAAATGTCTGTTTATTTCAGGCCAGCATCCCTTTTGCAGTTATTGGCTCAAATCAGCTTATTGAGGTGAAAGGGAAGAAAATCCGTGGACGGTTGTACCCTTGGGGTGTCGTGGAAGTGGAGAATCCGGAACACAACGACTTCTTGAAACTTCGTACCATGCTGGTGTAAGTATTGTATGCAGTTTACTTGTGGATAGCTTGCTAAGGCACACCCCAACTTTTGGATAATGATGCCCAAGAAATCAATGGTTGTTGTAACAGATTCCCAGGTACATTTGTATTCTGCAAATGTACATGATCTGGGAATTTGATGTTCGATACATCTCTTAATTAACGCTAGACTAGACACATTTGCTGTCATGATAAACTTTGCTGTTGTGATGAACTTGATAAGGTCTGTGCCCGATACTGAGTATTTGGGCGAGTAGTCATGACAAGGGACCATGGAGTCGGCTTCCCGGCCAATCAGGAAGCCAGGCGGTCCCGGCAGGCCAATCAGGAAGCCAGCAAGGTCCCGGCAGGCTTCCAGTGAATCACAGCACCAGTTTACAGCGACGGCTGAAAATCTCCTCCACCTTCCTGTGGATCCACGCCGCCTGTACCCTCCAATACCGACCGGGACCCCTGGTGTGACCGCACAGCCCTCCTAAGACCCCCCACAGCCCAGCACAGACCACGGACACCCACCAAAGAGACCACACAGCCCAACATAGAACCTGCACAGCTCACTGTAGACCATGCACAGCCCTCCTGAGAGTCTGCACAGCCCAGCATAGAACCTGCACAGCCACCTGAAAGCCTGCACAGCCCACCACAGAACCTGCACAGCCACCTATAAGTCCACACAGCACACCATTGAACCTGCACAGCCACCTGAGGGTCCGCACTATTACACTAATTGCCATTATTTTTCCTAGACTACTACTTTCAGAGCTAATTATTAAGTTATTACTAAAACCAGTAACAATCAAATGCCGAGGCAATTATTTAATATGATAAAGAGTAGATACATTTATATAGTCAGACAGATAAAACCGGCACTTTGAGGGCAACCATAATGCTGATGCGGCCCGCAATGAAAATTAATTTGACACCCCTTCTCATATGGAAACGTATATCTTGCTCATACATTTCCATAATGGTTGTATTCAGATAGTTGATGTTTCTGCTACTTTAGACTTAATTTTTTTGCCTGATGAAACTTGATGAAGGTGTTTCTGGGTTCAATCACACCTGTGTGCTTTAATGTAAGTAAATGCATGTACACTGGTTAGCCATTGTTTTAAATGGTGCTAGTTCACATCAGTGTGAAGCGTTGACACGTGTTGTCAATTTTTTGATGCATGAGTGCATTATAGGTCCCACTGACAATGGCAGCGCATTGAAAAGGCATGGGTTATTAATAATGCACTTAAAACCACATGAAAACATGAACTGAAAAGTATAAATCAGAAAACGCTTGTTTGCTATTTCTTGAGATTTGCCCACTCTTAGCTCAAAACTGTGTAATTATGGAACACATTGCACCTTGACTCTCCAGCCTCTTCCCCATATTTCTTTGAATTTATACTCAGAAACTTCATTTAAGACTTTTGTTGAATAGAACTGATAACTTTAGGTCTTCAAGCTGCTGAGCATTGTTGAAGCACATATGAGGAGCAAATGATAGTTGCATTTTATTTTAATCAAGAAAGTGCACTCATTCTTTAGGATAGATACAAACTATGTTTATCACTGCTTTTAACTGTGCAAAGGTCTTAAGCACACAGTAGTCAGAATTTGAAAACTCATGTATATACGTAGAAACATTTAGGGTTGTATGTTCTTTTTTCAAAACCTCTTTGCTTTGCTATGTGTCCCATTATAAATTGCACTGCTAAACCTAACTATATAACATTTTACAAAACAAAATTCACACGCAACTTGCCACTGGACAGATGTTACCACACAGAAACTCTCTCTTCCAACATGTGGCATGTGAAAAACATCTGTTGGATGAATTAGAAATGTTTAGAGGAAACAGCCCTCTTGTATGCCTTCTCGTCTTTAAAGTGGTAAGGTAGGTCAAGAATGCAGTTAGTGTAATTCCCCAAGCATCTCATTGTCAAGAAGGCAGACAACACAAGTGTCACTCACTGTCTTTCTGTGATGATGTCATTGCTTGAAGAAACATGGGAGATCTTGTCAAGGAACATTCTTGGTCACTTCATACAAGACAAAGATCCTTACTTAGCTGAAGCATGCAAAGGGACATATTTTAGGTAGGTAAGTATGCATAAAATGGTCCACACCATATATGAATATTAAAAAACAGACATAGTTGTTCAAACACATTCAGCAGGATGTGTAGGTAAAGAAGCAAGATAAAATATATGAAAATGTTGGCTATTTGTTTAGATCCTCGGTTCTCAACTGGTGGGTCGTGACCCAAAAGTGGGTCGCGACCCTGTTTTCAGTGTATGGCCGCAAGCCTTCCACTTTACTAGGTGAGAGCCTCCTCTGCCTCCCCCTAGCGCAGCACTGTCAGTTGTTGTGCCAAGCAGCCATTCAAAATATGCTGCCCGGCACCCAGTGTCAGCTTGAGGTGGGGTGGGATGGGGCTATGGCCGTGAGAGAGCTCCATCTTTATGTGCATTGCTTACAGCTCCCTCACGTGTCCTATAAAGGTGCCATGGTGACAGCACATTCTGCCTCCCGGCACTACTACAGGGCACGCAAGGGAGCTGTACAAGCAATGCAAGTTCTCGTAAGGTAGGGAGACTGGGTGGACCTCAAATAAAATAAAAACATTTGTGTAGTGTGTATGATTGTGAGATTGTGTCTCTGGTTGTGTGTATCTGTCTGTGTTTTACCATGCGATTACCGCACTGTACTGCGCAATCACACCTACCGTGCAGTCTGGTGTAGGAGGTGTGTTGCTTTGCCATTCATTTGAATGGTACCCCAAACGCACCTCCCACCCGCAGTTCGTACTCCCCTGCATCGGTATGCGCGGTACCCTAATGCCGTGCGTTCTATTGTAGTGCGACTTGGGTTGCGACTTATTGACCAAGGACAAATATGGGTCCTGAGGTCACACAGGTTGGGAACCACTGGTTTAGATGAAGCACTGAGGAAACCTATAGATAGGAAAAACATCCTGTGTATCATAGATAAGCATGCATCTAGAGAGATTAACATTGCAGTACAGCACCATCTACAGCTCAAAAGACATAACAGTATATCAGTACACATTAGAATGTCAGTAATACAATCAGTAGATAATTATCAGCATATGCTGCTCTATTTCCAACAGAAAAGACCATTGGAAAGGAGCGTTAGGGGAAAAAGAAGACCAACCCCAACCAAAACTTCTATTTTTTAAATTAGAGTGGGAAGGGTTAAGTTATTAAGACTTTCAGTTTCTAATCTTTCCTACTCTATTCTAAGCTTAAAAAAATGTTTGGAGCTCTGGTTTAGTTGAGGGAAATCAAAATAAGACTCCTGATTCCCAACTCAGATACTTAGATAGAACCGTATTTATTTTATTTTAAAGCAGAACTCTGGGCAAGTAAAATCTTAACCCTTACAATGGGGCTAGACACTGTAAGGGTTAAGTGCTCATTTTGTCTAGTAAGCTGGAAAAAAAAGAGAAGATGAGCTGGTGCCTTCCCTGGGTAACTGTAAGCCAATACAACAAAATAAGCACCTTTTCAGCGCTGATTTGAGCTGATCGACTTTGAGCGACATTGAGCTACAGTGCACATTTTGTCGCGCTACGTAGCGCTTCTTTTGCCAGTCTATCAAAACCTATTGGGGCCAAATCGCACAAAATCCACTGAAAAATAGCTCATGTTCAAGCGACAAGCTTCAGCTACAAGCTACAGGTGACATTGAGTTGCAAGATGTGAACAAACATCTCCATTGAAATGCATTGGAAGAGCTACATTGAGATTCATATTTGAGCGATTTGTGAGCGAAAATTGTGCTACCAAACGCTCAGTGTGAATGGGGTCTCAATTAGAGGCGGCATAGCAGGTGGTGCGCATCCTAGTCAGAGCAGGATTTCCATCACTGAAGCCTGTAGGGACACAACCTGTGTGCTCAAACACTATGCTACGATTATCTCTTTTATATAGAACATTTTCCTGTATTATTGCTCCATACCGTACAATATTGTGACTGTGTAAAAAAGCTTAGTTCATCTCTCTGCTCACTGTTATGCATATTCATCAGTGCCAATGTCTCAAATACTACCCCTCTCTCTCCCAGTCTGAGTGCCTCTATGCAGGAGATTACAAGAAGCTGAATCAAGTCAAATTCAGATATCTATATTAGGGCTGCGGAAATTAACGATGAATCCCTCGATTCATCGTTAATTTTTTTGATCGATCAAAATTCTTTTGATCGGTACTCACCTCTCTACTGGGGGTATTCTAATTTACATTATAATGTATTGCTTAGACTTGTAGTCCTGTATAGCTGGTGGTGTTCTGCATTGATGTATAATGATTGTACAGCAATGCTGAATACCACCAACTATGCAGGACTGCAAGTCCCAGCAAAACATTATGTTAATTAGGGATGCACCTGTGCCAATACTGGGCATTTTCACAAGCACTCGTACTCGTGAAAATGACCCAATACTAAACGCAGATACCGGCACTGGCGAAACTACCAGGGCTGCATCAGTCACATTTGCGACCGGGCCCTGGTGTTCCGCCAGTTTGGGGGGCCCAGAGAGACCAGAACACTGACATTGATTTGCCATGTGTTCCGGAGATCACACTGCGGGCGGGGGGCATACCTGTGTTGCCATTGACTTTAATGCAACAACACGCCCCCTCCCGCCCCAGAATGCAGTGAGGCGGCCGGGATGCGATCCAGTGCGTTCCGGCCCGATTCGTGCTGGAACGCACTGGAACTGGTGTGAACTAGCCCTGAAAGTCATAACATACATTGAGGGGAATTTATCAAAACTGGAGCAGACAGAATCTGGAGCAGTTACGTATGGCAACCAATCAGCATCCACCTTTTATTTTTAAACCTTAACTGAACAAACTGATGAGAGAAACTGATTGCTTGTCATAGGCAACTGCTCCAGATACTTTTGCTTCAGTTTTGATAAATTCCCCTCATACTGTTTGAGTGTGTGTGTAGGCCAATGTAGTTGGATCTGTA